ATTGTTGGTCAGCTCCAACAACTCGACTAAGCTGTTCAATCATTGCATTCTTAGAGCATACTGGAATGATCCTTTTTTTAGCCCTTAAGCTAAAGCAGCATGTGCTACTGCAGGTTGACTCTAAGAATTTATTTTGAAATCAAGTGATCAAAAAGTGGAGGCCCTCATTCTTTCCCCGTATGATCTGTAAGTCCTGTGAACTCTTCTAGTGCGTTTAGGTGATCACAAGATGCACCAAAAGCTCCCAATCGCAATCTGTTGAACAACCTGAGGGTTGAATCTCTTAGTATGGTAAATAAGAGACATCATTTCAGTGCATCGGTAATCTTCATGAGGGAATGTGTTTGACAGGATCAGTCCTATCCTTATATAATTCCAACATTTGTATCTTGAACCTTTTGGGGTTCAACATTAGAGATCTGTCAAAAGAAAGTATTCTTAGACAATCAGAGTGCTTCAGTACATCGAAATTGATGTTTATTTATCGGTGCCATCCAAACACTATCAAGTATATGGAATCTCTCTATCTTTTTAGGGCATGAGGAGCCCATCAACCATTGGGCATGTCGACACTATTTTGGGTTGGTTTGTGGGGAGTTTTCATGGTGGTGGCTCTCAATTTTGAGCTTTTCCGGCCACTAGGCTCCAAGAGGGACATGGAAACATTACTGATGTGTGAAAATAATATTGCTCCAAGAGGAACATGGAAACATTACTGATGTGTGAAAATAATATTTCTTGATTTCTATGGAAAGAAAAGCACATCCCCAGTGGAGTCGCCAGAAGCTGTCGGCGCTATTTTGGGTTGGTTTGTGGGGAGTTGCCATGGGGGTGGCTCTCAATTTTGAGCTTTTCCGGCCACTAAGCTGGCCGGCCGGCCAGGGGGAGGTGGGTAGGAGCTCGGCGCGCTGGTCACTAAGTCCAACTAATGGCTGTGATGGAGTTAATTTGGTGACTTTAAGTTGGTTAGGTCACATTTAGTGCATGGGTCCAAGTGAGTGCAAATGACCAAAACTTGGGTTTAGACTAGGTTAGTCATGTCAATTGGCCCAAAAAAATATTGTGTTTGGTGTAGATGATCATAAGTAACAACTTTGGTGAAGGATGGAAGTGGTTTTGAGTTCCATTGAAGCATTGAAGGGTCAATTTGAGGTTTGAACCTTAATCAATTTGGTTATGTTGGGCTAGGCTTGGGTCTAGCTTGGGTTAGCCTTAGGCTAAGTCCAAATTGATTATTGTAATTTTTCAATAGGGACCTCATGAAGAGTTTTCAACATGAATTGGATGCCAATTTGGAGGTTAAGGCAATCAATTGGGTGAAATTTGGGGACTTAGCCATTGGGGCTAAATTTGGGAATTTTGGATTTAGGCCAAAATAAAATGGATATGAGGCTTTACCAAGGCCAAATGATGGTTGATTTTGATGTACATGGATGTTATAAAGTTTTTAAACATTAATTGGGGCCAATTGACTAGGCTATGGGTTCAATTTGGTGAGATTAGGTCATATGGTCAAAATTGGGGTTTTAACCTAACTCAAAAATGGGTTCAAATCATGGACCAATTGAGCTTCAATTGAGCTTGGATTTTGAGCTTGGATTTGGTTTATATTGATCATATCAAAAGTAAATTTTAGTTTAGGATTGAAATTGAGGTCAATTGAGGTCAAATTGATGGACATTTGAATTGAATTTGGGGAATTTTGGGTTTTAAAGGCAAATTTGGGGGTTTTGGTTAAAGATGGTTAAAGATGGCCAAATTGGGTCATCTGGTAGTTGAGCGAAATGAAATTGGAAATATTTAGGATTTATTGGGATTTTCTGGGAATTTTTGGAATTTTTGAAATTTTGGGTCTAAGAGGGGTATTTTGGTAATTTGGGGGTGTTTTAGAGGTAAAAAGGTTGGTAATTTGATTTTGGTAGAGTTGAGGTACCAATCATCACCAACAAACAGGACAAGATGGGTATTTTGGTAGAGTTGAGATACCAATCATCACCAATAAGTCATGGATCAATGGAAACCCCATTTTGGATCCTTTACATAGTGGTCTTAACCAAACCATTGCCCAAGGGCTAGTAGGTTTAGGGGACCATCTACATGAGTATCCCAAAAGATCAAGGGATCTAGCCTAGAAATTTGAGTTTAGGATTGTGAGTGAATGTGGGTGTATATGAGTGTAGATGAGTGTGTAGATGATGAGTGTAGATGAGTGTAGTGAGTGCCTTAGCTCTAGACCAACACCCGGGGTTAACCTTAAGGTTCAACAGTCCTAAGGGTGACTCATCTTGAGTTTCCCCTGTAGTGATCCCACCTACTAAATGCTAGAGGTTGAGACCAACATGTGGCACTTCAAGTTGAGTAAAGAAGATGGTAGAATTTCTAATGGTGAGGGTTCCATGTCTAGTTTTCTAAGAATAGTCAATAGGAAAAATCCTATGGCTAGACCTTAGGCTACTAAAAGGGAAAAAACTAAACCTCAACCAAAAATGAGGTCAACAGGGCACTGACCCTTCCTCTTGAGGATTTAGCTACCTTGCCTGAGTTAATGCCTCTTAGAGGGCTTCGATCATCTGGCCTTTACGCTCGTAGTTCTAATGCTGCACAACTCTTTAGTGCACTCCATGCTAGTAATGCTTTGTTGAGGTATTCTATGTGCGCTACTCTTCTTCTTATTTGTAGCATGATCTACGCTCAATGCACCTTTTAGGATGTTGTTTCCGAAGTCTTTTGTAAATTACACCCAATGAATAGTATAAGACGAGAGAGAGAGAGAGAGAGAGAGAGAGAGAGAGAGATGCATAAAGAATGGATAGTAATTTGTAACAAGGGTGTAGCTCCTTGTTGATTAATTAATCTCTTGTTTATAGAGAAATGAACTACAATATGTGAAATTACATTTATGTCTCTACTTTAATTGAGGAGCATACAAATTATTTTTTGTATTTAAGTATGTTGGCTTAAATCCCAGTTGATCTCTAGATTGGTTAGTTGGACTAGTTACGCCTTGCTAGATGTTGTTGGTCGGCTAGGCTTGGTAGATGTTGTCGGTTAGCTATGCTAATGAGGCCTTGGTAGGCACTGTCGGTCGGCCAAGTTTGGTAGATGCTGTCAGTAGACTGATCTTTTACTGGCAATGGATCAACAAAATTGATCCAATCGGCTACGTTTTGTCGATCTGTTAGTTAGGTCTTGCCAAGTTTGGTAGAGCCAAGCTAGGTCATCAGACAGTAGGTAAATCACCATAAACTGATATGTAGCCGCCCTCCTTTGATTTGTCTTTTCCCGTTTGGACCATTAGATTTCTTTGAGATTTATGCTGACAGTTTTCCTTTGTACTTTTAAGCATATATATACCTTGATATACGGTTTAAGTACTAAACATATAAATTATGAATTTGATATATGGTTTAGTTAAAAATAATTGGAAATTTTGCACGAAAATTGTTAGCATTCACCAAGCATTTGTGAAATTACTTTGATTTTAGTTATTTTCCTTGTAATAGTTCAATGAACATTTTCTTCCATGAAGATTTTTGATTGTCTTTAAGCAAACATATAGGTTAAATAATTGTCTCGTTTTTCATATAAAAAGGTACATTAAGTAGCATTAATAATTAATTGTTGAAAAATTATTTTCCAATATCAAGTAGTTTGTGTGTGTATGTGCGCGCTTGTGTGTGTGTGATCAATATGACTCAACTAATTATGTATACCAATAAAGCTGCGAATCAAGCACATTTATGAATTAATTGGACAATTTGGGATCAAACACAATTTGAACTCCATGGCATAGTTGGAGAACAAATTATTATGAGGATCACAATGTCACTAAAGGTGAAGCCCTTCATTATGGTCATCATCAATGCTCGACAAAACGGAGTTGAGGATGTAAAAGTTAATACACGGGGTCTTACTAGAGTCCATGGATGCCGAAGAGGCAATAGAGTACCCAATCAGAGCATCATTGTTGGAGCTCATAAATGATACACTCGACATTGAATCTCAATCAGAGCATCATTGTTGGAGCTCATAAATGATAATTGGAAATTCAATGGTTAACTTCAAAAATTGCGAAAGAGAAATAAACTAGAACTTATTAATTTATGCGTACATTTTCTCTCCTTTCAAATATTTATTAAGCTACCCTTCAATCATAATTTGTACAATAATGGCACCCTTAAACAATTTACATAATTTCAAATGTTAATAGCGGAGTCACCAACTCCAGATTCTCTCCACCCGATTCTTTCAATAAACTTATGAGATAGGGTACAATTATTCAATAAACATGCCCTCACCAATCACCATGACATTATAAACCTAGATACATTAAATTCACATCACACCAGCCTTTTATTTTAATAAAAAAAAAAAACATCAAATTAAATTTACAAAGAGGTTTCTAACAACAAAACGCTTAAAAAAACAATCAAAAAATTTTAAAAAGGGGAAGGGGTTTTTACGTATAAAACACGTAATTCCAATGTATTAGCATATCAATTATCAAAATTTTAATTTTTTTATGTACAAATCACCTGATTTTATTTTTTCCGACATAGATTTGGTGATAGTTAGGGGTGTAAACGAGCCGAACGTGAGCGAGTCATGCTCAGCTCCTGTTCGGCTCGTTTATATTTCGAGCCCACAAAGGGGGTT